TCGGTTGATGAAGCAGCCGATTTTTTTCAATTCTACGACAGTACGAGTTACATTTTTACACATTGTGATGAATAAGAAACGACGTCTACGGCAAACTCGATTTCAGCGTGCGGCCATGTTGGGTCTGCAGTGTGAACTGTACCATGTTGACCTCATTATGCACGTATTTCCGCGCCCACTTCATTATAATATGTGCTCATGAATATTTAATAGCAATGAATTTCCTGCAGAATAAACCAGTCGGGGTGATTTCGCGCTAACACCTCCATTTGGCAATTTTTTTTATTTTATTTAAACTACAAAAACAAATTAATCTCCCCGACTGCGCCAGTCTAGGTTGGACCATACATAACTCCAGTGGCAGCCATTTTCACTGTCTTGTACTTTGCTGTTACTAAAAGGTGTGTAAAATAAAATGCATGTTAATAAGCATATAACAACAAATTTAAGAGGAAGCACACCTTTGTTACCATTGGTAACACTTATTTTTTATGACTGATCATAATCTACTGACTGTTGCAGGTTTGATAAGAGGGTGCAAACCTGGGCTAAAAGGGGCTGCGCTCCGGTTCCCCTGTCCGGAAGAACCTCTGGCAATAATGTAACTTTGATTTCATGTATTTGAATAGTTTGATTGCTGCGATTGCTTGGTCGTTTACCATTGAGCATTATTACAATTCATCCAAGATTTTAAAAATTTCATTTTATTGCAATAATGTTTGTACAAATTCATCTTCATATGTGCACATGTATAATTTTTCTATTCAAATGTTCCAGAAATCTGGCCAGTATATGAAATACACAGGATCAGTCAATTATATAATATGCTAGTTAATATACATAATATTTGTCACCACATTTGTATAACAAGATGTGTATGGAGGCAAAAATAGCTAATATCACTTTAGGATTAGTAAGATTTCATTCAGTCTTATTTTTGGTACAGGTCTTGCTTGTCACAGTGACAATGCAATGCTTCATCAAAATATTCATCACAATAATTATCAAAAAATTTAAATAATTCTAGATGAATGTATTTGCTCTTACTATTAGTGGCAGATGCACTTATAGAGCGATGGTGTTTCGTGCTGTGGTGTGTTCATTATGCAACATATACAACACGTGTACATTGTTTACATGATATTCAAACACGTGCTGCATGACGACCGCTGCCCTTTAACTAAATACATAAATGCTCAAACTGAGTCATATTTTATTCCAATATTTAATAATTAAGTAAATACAATTTTTGGTTTGTGAGTTGTCATCTGTAAAAGAATGCATGTATAAAGAAAATATAGCAGTCTCAACATTGCTTCATTTTCTGAATAATTTTCTGAAAAGCTTGTCTAAACTTTCGATTACGCCATGCGTAGATCACTGGATTAATACCAGAATTTATAACTATTAAAGTATCTGCTACCATCTGACCGATTACATCACAGCTTCCTGGAAACAATGGATGGATGCTAACCATGATAAGCTGCGGCAGCCAGCACACTAACAACACGCCTAGAACAATGCATGGAGTAATGGCAGCTTTCAATTCTGTCTGTAAACGGGAATTTTGTTGAATGTGATCAGTCACTTGAAGCTGGTTGTTTATTTTACGAAGCTGTGTTCGCGCAGCTAGGAAAATCCTAATGTATAAGACCACCATTATAGTGAGTGGGATAGCGAAAGATGTGACTAAGAAGCAACATGCTTTCCATCGTCAGTAACATGTCAAGTTGGTCGCACAGGTATGTTTCTGCATCTGTGTCTTGCCCTTTTACCATAAACACGGCAAACATGGTGAAGCCTCCTAACCAGATTGTTGCTATGGCAACCTGAGCTCTAAAGGGAGTAACCCATTGGTGGTAGTGTAAAGGATGAATAATTGCTATGTATCGATCAATATCGATGGCTAACAAATGGAGAATCGAAGTGCAGAATGGATGGTACATTATAATTGATATAAAAATGCATATTCTGGTCTCTGTGACTGTACCAAGGTTGTGAAAAACTACCAAGACCGGAACACTGTTTATGCCGATCATCTCGTCAACAATTGCGAGACTAGCAATAAAATAATTTGTGATTGTGCGGAGACTTTGTTGTTGATAGATTGCGAGTATCACTAGTAGATTACCAAAAATAACCGGAATTGACAGGATCGTGAGAATGCTAAGTTTCACAAAGTACTCCTGATGGTAGGTTAAAATGTTTGTCCTGCATTTATGGTGATCTTCTATCTGCATGTACGTTATATTATTAGTTACATTTATGCCCATCCTGATGTTGTGAATTTATATCAGCGACGTATTATCAATTCAGAGGGTATATATGCGTACGTGGCGGCTATTCAGCTTTAGACTAATTGTGTCCCTCTACCCACCAAGTGAACTTCATACCAGACTTCATAATAGAAATACTAACTCTTCCAATGTAGTTTCAGTTATTATCCCAGGAGCATCATTTGAGTACATGTATTTTCTCAAGATTTTTCAATGATCTGTAAAACAAATTCATGAATACTGTTCAGCTTCTAGAAGAAAATAATATGTCTGCCATATTTGCTTACTTGGTCTATTACAGTGAAAATAACTCGCATTAGAATAATTCAGTATACAGTAAATGTAATAGAGCAAATACACTTCTGTCTTTTCTGAGAATATTGATATTCATATAATGCTGTTTAGTTTCTGTTTGTGAATTTTTCAATGTCAAAATTGCATGTATTGTGGAATCTCATGTACACTTTCACTTTTGAAATAGTTCACATTTGCATTACATTATTTTAGAGATAACATGTAATATTATTCTTTAACCAAGTTTTGTCAGAAATTTGTGTTCTTACCTTTGTTTTGCTCAAAACAAACATGCACACATAGGTTTTTCATGTGTTCTCTGTTGAATTCGCTCGGCAAATCTGGCTTTGAAAAATGAACTGCGAGAAAGAAATACATTGATCACGTACTCATCACTTGTTTTGACATCCTAATGGCATATATGTATGACTGTCACATTTAATTGCATTTTATGATGGTTTTTGTTTGTAAAAAGCTTTTTATCCATGGATAGTTTTGCCCAAAGGTGAACTATTATGTTTTTGTTTCCCTGTCAGTTGAATAATGCAATGTTAGTGGAATAAATGTTACATGTATAACTGCAGAGACATCTAAATGACTGTGATGTCACCTCTATTTTAAATTGCATTATTTTTGGGTGTACATTTGTGTTGCCAGGTAAAAACACAGAAAATGTAAAAGCTTTGCAAATTGTTTTGAAATGTTACATGTATGTCAATTTGATCAAATAAATGACAAACTATGAATTAGTTAAAAGGGTGGCACTAAAGCTTGTTTCCCTGGTTGCAGGGACTGATGTACGTTTGAGTCTGTGTGCAAAACACACAATGGGAGTCTTGGGACTGGTTTGTAGAAAATTTAGCAGTACAGGTCACATGAATGATTTACCTGTCTAAAATGTCAGGTGGCATGCTAAAAGTCTAGTGGCATGACCTAGGAGCCATGGGTAATTAAATAATATTAACACATTCATAGCAAATGTAATCATTTAACATTCAACCTCCACTCCTGAATAAAATCGTAACAAAGTAAAAAAACGACTTGTGATGATTGTTGTTTGCTATGTTAATTATCCATGTCTCCCTACTCTAATTGATCAGTCATTTTGTTTTAAAGGTGTTATCTCTGACGTGCGTTGATTGATCACTATTGTGAAATCTGCCCCAGGACTTAATTATTTATTTTTTCCATTTTTTCAATTGTCTCAATTCTTTATGTACAGGGTTGAAAAATACAGACCACAGGTGCTATCAGAAGTTGTTGGAAATGAAGACACTGTTAGTAGGCTAGCTGTCTTTGCTAAGGAAGGAAATGTACCTAATATCATCATTGCTGTGAGCAAATGTTTTTTTTTATATGAACCTAATGTTTTATGAAAGGGCTCGAATTTAACTTTTTCTTTGGTAGTCCAGATGGACTT